CACCCGGTTATCCACCCACAACCCGCGGCAGAGAGACAGACAGTGGGGACCCAGTGGTCACCCGCCCCACCGGGTCACCGGGACCGAGAGCGAGGGATGGCCTTGCCCGGCCGGATTTTCACCGGCGGTGAGGTCGCCGGCGGTGTGGTTGCTACCTATGGACTCCACAAGGGGAGGCGCACCTGCTGGTGCTACTTGCGCGGCCAGAGGACCCCCAGAGCGAGGTGACCGACGGTCATGGCGTCTGTGGTACCGCTGGTGGTGTGCGTCTTGGGCCTGTTCGGCCAAGAAAGGTGGCCGGCGGCGACTTTCGCTCATGACCGAAGCCGCCATTGCGAGGCGGCGGGCGGCAGTGCGCATGAAAATAGGGAAGAGAGGAAGGCGAGCAGGGCTGGCCACGGCGGCGTCTTGCGGCCGGAGAAGCCCGCGAGTGACGGCGTGAAGGAAAAACTCAAGGCAAGGCCTCACCTCCGGGCCGATTCATGAGGCGAAGCGGTCAATAGCGTGGCCATGAGATGGCAAAGGCTTGTGGCGCGAGAAGGCGGGGAATGGTGCGGTGGCTGGGGTGGAACGCGGCGACGAAGAAGACGGCGCATACCGAAGCTGCGCCAAATGGTCTGCTTCTTTTCGCTGCGAGTAGGAGGGAGCGAGCGGAATGAGGCGAGTGGGGAGAAGCGGGGCGCTGGCGGGAGCTTAAGCGAGGCGAGCGGGCGGTGGGACCCGCAGGAGCGCCACCCGGCGGGCGGCGCCGGCGTACGGTCGCCACGCGGTGGCCATCGCCTGAGCGCGGTCGGGGCACGGCGCGCGGCGCGCGGGAGGGAGGCCGAGCTAGGCCGGGCCGGCTTGCGAACTGGGCCGGGAAGTGAGGCGCAAGGCCCACGAAGGTAAAAACAAGATTTTTCAAATTAATTTGAATTCCTTTTTCATTCAAACGAATTTTTGGACTAAATCAAAGCAGTTTCAAACTTTGGACCAAAAATGAAAGTTGCTCAAAATTTTATCCTCTACAACTTTGCTTTTAAGACCAACGTCCAATTTATTATAGATTTTGAATTATAAAATTAAAGTCAATTTTGACTCAAACCCTAATTTTTGGAGAATTATTTTTAAAGCAAAATTTGGCAATAATTCAAATACAAACCTTGCTCCAAAAATTGTGATAAACAATTCTAGATGATTTACAATCATAACCAAACAAGTTCTACTAACCTAGCAAGCAAAATCAGGGCAAAACAATTCTAACAAAGGTATGCAACATTCAGGTTTCACAACATGTTTCAGATGTTTCAAAGCAATGTTTCAATTGTTATTCACACGATTAAGCATGTATGCTTTGGATGCTTGATGATGCATGCTATGCATGATTTGCAGTGCCTAAATGTAGGCATAACACCGGGGTGTTACATGTGCACTGATAGGGACAAAGAAAAGGTAAATACTGAACTGCTATCTTATTTCAACAAATAAGTAACAACTAACCTAACTGTGGTGTTTATTTACAGGAAGAGGACCAAGAAGACAGCACCTAGACTAGGAAGAAAGAAGGCCAAGAAGGACTAGCCACCAACAGACCAAGGAACACCGAGGACAAGAGCAGCAGTGGCTAGAGAGGCAGCTGCAAAGGCAGCAAGAGAGGCTGCAGAAGCAGTAGATAAGGCTGCTGCTGCAGCAGAAGCAACAAAACAAGCAGAGAGGCATCTCCTGGATGTGCCACCACTAGAGAGAATTCCACCATCAAGCCCAAGAACACCTCCAAGGTATGATACAACCTTTACAATTCTATGCTTGCCAAAGAATGCAACCCTAAACTCCTGGATGTTTGAACACAGGAACACCTGTCTTGATTTACAAGTTGTAAACCAGATTCAAGACATGCCTGCTGATGGTGCTCCAAGGAAGATAACACCAAGGAGGAAGCAGCTGGCATCCAAGGTCAGGAAGAGTCCAGGAAAGAAGACTCCAGCAAAGAAGGGGAAGAAAAAGTGAAACTTGTAGTGAACCTTTTGTGTGATCTTTTGTGTAGTGATGCATGGCATGAACATTATGTGCTTTATGTGGCCACAACACAATGTGATGTGTGGCCGTAAGCTTTTGTGTTGCAACTGGCCAAATGACTATGTAATGTGTGGCCTTAAGCTACTGTGATGTAAGTGGTCAAATGTCAATGGATGTATAGACATCCCAACTATCTGAACCTGTTATGGTTTGTATTAAATTATGTGCCACTGCTCTATGAAATGATGTTCATGTGATCTATTTTTATCATACCTCTGTGAATTATGTGTCAATTCATCATTTTAGTTTTAGTCATCCATCAGTTTCATTCATCCATCTAGACAATAAAATTTTGGGGACAACATTTTTCAGTTTTATTCATCCATTACTTCATTACAGCATACATCACTACACACCCAAAGACAACACATACAACACAAGCAATGAACATGTTCATCTTCAACATCAGTTTCTCCAGCTTGTGATCCAATTCCTTCCTCTGCTTGTCACCATCTGGACTCCCCACTGAAGCTTCTTCTTCCACCACCTTTGCCTAGTTCGATGGCCGAACAATGACGATGCCGAGATCCTTCAATTGCTGGAAGTACTGCTTTTCGAATCGATAGTACCCACACAACTTGGGGAACTAAAAAAAGGACACAAATTACAACCCTAACTGTGCCAATTTAGGAAAAACCAGGAGACAACTCACCCCATTCCTTGCACACTTGAAGTACAGACGGCCATGATTCTCACTGTCCTTCTTGGTTCGCCCTTCCACCACTCGAGCAAGATGGCAATCCGGGCAAGGGATCAACGGGAAACCGCTGAGCTCACCAATGGGATCGAGACCGACCGAGGCAATGCGGGTGCTCGGGCCACCGTGAAGCCTGCTCCTCGCCCGTCCACCTCTAGACGACTCCGAGTAATGCTCCATCGAGAAAGCTAGGAGAGGAAGGAGGGAGAGGAAGGCGGCGGCGGTCGGATGGCGGTGGCGGCGGAGGGCTACGGTGAGAGCGGGGAGACAAAGAACGAGCGAATGGGCCGGGCGAGGCAACTGAGTGCGGCTCGACTAGGTTAGCAGCAGAGGGCGGGGGCAGCCGCGGTCATTTGCCACCCCCATGCTGCCTCGAATCCCACCTGGACTAACGCGTTGTCGTGCCATGAGTGCAAAAGTGGTAATTATGTATCTCTTCTCTCCGTTACGTACCAAAGTCGTATTGCCAGCCGTTGCAGTGAGATCTCAGGAGGTGCCGATCCTTATAATGCTAAAAAGTTAAATCTCCCGATGTTGTACGTGACCGTGCGCAGGAGATCTGGCCAGAATGGATACCACTTGAGTGGGCCGAACTGGGCCGCTTTTTCACTCCATTTTGTGACAGTCTGCCCTTGCAATGGAAATCAATCAATTGTTCTGCTCCACTTTTTTTCAAAAAAAAAATCAATTGCTCTGCTAAAAAACCAGTCAATTGCAGTTAAAAAATCAATCACTAGTTAAATTTGCACGGTTTTTTCTACAATATGAAAAGGGAGGAACTAGTGAACCGCTTCCAAGCAGCAAGCTAAGCCCAAGTGAAAAGTTTTGTGGCGTTGTTCTTAGGATTGACATGTCATATAGAATGAAATGAAATATGGATCAAACATCCAATATTGATGGAAAGTTTCATTCTATGGTTCATACACATTTAATTTCATGACTAATAGAGAGTTGGTAACCGTGCTAAGAAAGTTTCATCCCCATAAAACTCACTTCTTCACTCTCATCTTAAAAATATTGCCACATCATGAAAAACGCTTATGTGACTAAACGCAAATGAAGTAATATATCTTCTCTTTTGTTTGTTGTCTTCATGAATGTGGCAGTAATATCTTTCTTTTCTTTTGTTGTCTTCTTGAATGTGGCTTTCCTTTTGCTTATTGCCTTCTTGAATGTGGCTTTTCTTTTGTCTTCTTGAATGTGGTGCCCCGGTGGCAGTTTAGGGCCTGTTTGGATTGACGAATTTTTCACAGGAATTTTGAAGGAGCACATTCATAGGAAAGGAATTGAGTAGGAGCGTTTGGATTGATCTGGAAATAAATAAAAAGCTGACAACGCAGCTTGTTTCCTGTAATCCAAATGCCTCAAACTGTGTCCATTCCTATATTTTGAAATTCTATAGTTTTTCATCAACCTTCCCATTCCTATGTTTTGAAATTCTATAGTTTTCAGTTTTCATCCATCCTAATTCCTGTGTTTCTTCCTACTCTGTTGTTTTGCATCCTCATTCCTATGTTTCTTCCTTGTTCATTTGTTTTGGATTCCTATGTTTCTTCCTATTCATTTGTTTTGTAAACCTCCGTTTCAAACAAGACCTTAGTTAACCAATCTCTGCTATCTTTAAACTCTCTACCCTCTTAGAAAGACAGCTCTAGCCATATTTTCCACCAAAAAAAAACAAATTACACAGTTTTGGTCAACAACGTTAGTTTTTCAAAATTTTCGATCTAAAGACAGCTCAAGGTGGGTTTCTCGCATGCGTTGCACAGTAATTTTTCCCAAAGACAATGACCGACCACTTTGGTGCCCTATGGCCGGCAGCAGCAATCTGACTGAATCTACTAAAGCTGAATAGCGATAGCATGCACGCCTCCGGCAGACCTCAAGTGCTACACCACACACGCGAGCAGAAAGCCAAAGGGGAAAGTCACAGCAATGCTTCAGACCCTAGCATACCCCCATGCAGTAGATCACAATCATCTATAGATCTGAAAGAAAAGAACCCACAACGCCACACCAACACAACGGTCTCCCAATAATGTCATCAGCCAAAGGGAAAAGATGGAAAGGAAGAAGAACAAAATGCTACCAAACCAAGTGTACACAGGTCAGCACGAAGAAGAAAGAGATGCCGTGGGCCGAGCCAAACTCCGGCGCAACACCAATGTATCGCCTGCCTGGCCAAGTGGGAGACCCACAACCCCAAGAAAGGAACCCTATATGTACTGCCACTGCTGCTGATGCCCCCTCAGTCGCTGTAATCAGTGCTGCCACTACATGAGCTGCTGCCATCCCGGCTGTGCTGTGACAGGCCCCTCAGGTGGCCCGGCAGGCTGGCCACGCCGTCGATGCTCTTCTCCCGGAAGAACCTCTCCCTCTCGGCATGCTTTGCAGGTGGTGGCGGGATCAGCGGAGCAGGATCAGGCCTTGCCTCCTCACGGTCCGGCAAACGGATGTTCAGCGCACCCAGTCTCTTGTCGGGGTGAGGCGACTGGATGGTCAGCGGCCGCCGCAGCTTGTCCTCGGGCATGGATCGGAATGACGGCACCGAGTCATCTGTGTAGTCCTGTGACAGAGCTTTCCCCTTCCGCAGTCTGTTTTAGTAGGGAGAGAATTCTGTAAGAGGCTGCCTTCCACCATTCAGAAGGAAAATGGTGCATGATCCTACCTCCGATAGAGACTTTCAGCATCCTCTTCCTCCACTTCCTCCTTTATATTAGAAGCTACTGTTGTTGTCGGGTGAACAGAAAGCAACGCATCATGCCGGACAAGGACCTTATGTAGCTCTTCATTTAGCTCTATAGCTTGTGATACCACCATTTCATCCCTAGCAAATAATAGCGGCAACACAAAACATCAGTGCAGCTGTAGCAGACAGCGACAAGTAACAAACAGGTGATAGATGTGCACAGATATTCCAACACCATGCCAAAGCAACAGTAATAAAACCGGATCCTTACCTTGATGTCATAACAAGGTGGATTATTCGTTGCTTCTGAAACGTACATTGCTCGACAAGATCCAACACAAATTCATCTGTTGCTCCCTACAAGAACACAGCGCTAGGGCATAAGTTATACAGAGTAAAAGCACTTTAGCAACACAGCAAGAGGATAAAGAGGTGCAAAAATCCAACAAGCAATCAAACTAGAGAAGGATGCAGATATATTGATGATGTGGATATTAATTTAACACATACCTCAGGGTGCCTAGGATCCATAGAATTAAGCACATCCCTCAATACTTCCATGACACTAGAGGCTTTCTGGACTATACTGAAAAACATCAAAATGCGCTGTTAGAACATAGGAATAATAATCCATAAAGATGAGGCAAATTTTGTCGCATCCAGATCCAGTTATACTGTCCTAAGTACTATATCAATAATGAAAGGTATCACAGATGCTAAGCACGGCATCCTGAGGACACCTGTGCTGCACAGAACTTATCGTGCCATAAATCCCCCCCAGAAGAGATGTATATAACTACCATGGAATAGAAAAAAGAAAACAACACATGACATTAACAAGTGACACACCAATTCCAAAAGAAAATCAAAATCTACAACCAACTGCGTACCAATGATTATTCCACCACATGCTGCAACTCCACACTATATGATGTACATCGTCATAGTGACTCATACCATACAGCTCGAGATTAACATATCAGTGCCAAGAAAGTACCTTGCATCAGGAGCAGGCTGAGTGTGCACTTCCTGTTGAGCTTCATTCAATCGGGTCAACAAACTTTCATTATTTCGTTCTGTTCTCGTCTCGGGGACTGGCACTTCTGCTCGTGTGACAACAACATTTGGGCGATTTGAAAATTGCACACCAGCAGACTATGGAGGCAAGATAAATGATAGCTTCAGCTATATATCATAATAAACACTGCAACAACCAAAAAACAGCTACTTTCTATTGTAAGCTAACAACAAAAGAATATGTTGAAGAGAAGAAATGTTCTGCACATATTGGAGTCATAGAAGTGGTTAAGGAATAAATATTGCAACCACCAAGCAAACAACAGCACCACAGAAGTATGTATGACACTTTTATGACTCTTCACATATTTATCAATAAATCGACAAACAATTTGCACATGCGTTTCACTTGAGCAAGAAAAAAAACTTCTAGTTAAAAGGAATAAACACACCAACAGTTAAACATAGTGCTACCAAAATTCTCAACACAAATACATGGGAAGAAACAAAGGAAACCAAGCAAAAGAAGTAAACTGTAAATATGATACCTACCACCAACTCATAGTATGCCTCATAGTACTGAGGAAACTTTGCTTTAGCTCCACCAAGGGATGTTTGTGTAGCATCTAACAGAAGAAATATTTTTTCTCGAACTGGTAAATCCGTCTGCAACCAAGATAGCGTATTATGTCAACATCAATTGGTAAAGTTTCAAATGAGAACAGGTTTCACAATTGTCATCCTAAATTCAGTGAAAAAGAAGTTACCTTTTTCTTCACTATCTTCACAAGTATCGGAAGAAGCCCATTATCGATGACCTGCCTATGGATAGGCTCTCCACAATTATTCAAAAGCATCTCCAATAGCTGAAACAAATAGCAGACTAAAAGTTAATCATAGAAACACATCTGCACATTCTGTAATGATCTAATTAAAATTTTTAAAATGAAAAATGATAGGCCATTTAGGTACAGTGACATCAGGACCAAAACCTAGATTCACAGTTCAGAAAATTCAAGACGTAAATATGAAGCGCAGCGGCAGAATTAACTCAGCAGACAAGAAAACATCTGAAGTACTACCATGCCCGCTTTTACATCAAATGAACAGTAACCATTAGCAAGAGTAGCTCTTTTTGCTTTCATGGAGTTTTCCATTGTGGGTGACTGGGTGAGCAAAAGTACAAGTCGTCCTCCCTTCTTACATGTCTATGATTCATGATCAAATATAAAAGGAATGTGTCCCTGTGTCTAGCATAGTCATCTAGATACTTATAGCACACCAGTTGATCGGGGAATCGGGATCCAAGAGGGCTGCTGCTGTGAAAATAACTCACCATAACAGCAAAGAGTTGAGTGCTCTTGCTCCTGCTCCCTATAGACTTTTTTATGGACTTGATCACATCCTTCGCTTTCCTGGTGACAGTAACAGGGAACAGAAAATTAACACATCATTCAAGTAAACAAAAAACACCCTTTCCAAATGGCAACCCATGAACCACCACTTATATGCAAAAAAAATCATAGCCAACTGGCAACGAAAAACTGGTAGCACTTCCAGATCAATTCACCGTACACTCAAAAGAAATGACAATAATAAGAGAGTACAATATCTAATTCATCGTCACAGCCTTCAACCAGCAAAGTTCCAATGCTACTCGGTAACCAATGGTTCCGAAAGGGGAAAAAACAGGGGGAGAAAGGGAACAGAAAGGGGGGAATGGCAAGCATACCCAGGATCCTGCGCCACGAGCTCGCAGATTTCGATGTTCTTTGCCCAATCCATCTCCTTGAGCTTGTCACTCGTCGCCGCCTTCACCATTTCCGCAGCCATCTTCTCCCCGTGCGCCTCCTTCACTCTATTACCCCTCCTCCTCTCACTCACGAGCAAATCCAGGCCCGTACTCCACAGCGCCGGGCGAGGAAAAGGGCGAGAAGAAATCCCTGCCTCCTGCAACGAAGCCATTCCGAGCGTAAAGATCGCGCTTTTGAGCATAAACCGCAGCCTGCGAGCAAGGAAAGAAGCATTCTGCCCGAGCCGAAAGAACGAGGAGAGGGAGATGCAATCTGGAGCTACAAGATCACATCGGCGGGAGCAGAAAGCGAGGGAAGTGGTAGCGCGCACGAACCTAGATCGGCCGCAGGTGCACCCGCGACGCGACGCGCTGCTAGTGGATTTTGGCTGGCGACGGCGGTGGCGCGGCCATGGCGCCGGCGGCACACGCAGTGATCTCAGTCGGAGGAGGACGCGGCCGAGGCGGGTGGGAGAAGTCTGGAAGCTAGGGATTAAGGAAAAGACATGTCTTGTCCTTTTACAGATTACACCCTGAAATTTTCTGATATGGGCTTGTCGGTACCAATTGACTTCTGTGTCTCTGCCGCCACGTCATCCGGTTAACCACCTGACTGAAATTTTCCACGCAATTCTTGCTCCGTCCAACTTCCTCAGTAGAGCATGTTTTTCACTTTTTTTTTTGTCTATTTACCAAATAAGACAAAAGTGTTATTCATCGAGGTTGAAAAAACTTTCAAACTAATTTTGGCCTCAGTAGAAATTTTTTTCACTTTGGGCTGTTTAGTTCACATCGATTCTTCCGAATTTGACACTATGCAAAAAAGATTCCCGTCAATTAAACTATAAATATGCAAACTAAATGTTACGAAATTAAAAACTAATTGCACAGTTTAGTTGTACTTTACGAGAGACGAATCTTTTAAGCATAATTAGACAACGATTGAACAATTATTACTAAATAAAAAAAACAATAAAAAGATGCTTTTGCAATCAAGACCTCCTCCAACTAACGTGACCTTTTTTTTTTTGTCTATTGCATTCCCAAAAAAAATTTTTCAAGATTCCTCTCACATCGAATCTTTGGGCGATGCATGAAGCATTAAATATAATAAAACTAAACAGCATCATTTTTTTTTCTTACGTAACAACGAAAAATTGTGTCATCCTCACAATGCTTTAGTTAAGAAAGAGTTGAAGAAACAACGTTTTACTAGAAACCAAAACTGCAATATTGTTAACCCCTATAAGTTCTACGAGATTACACGATGTCTTGTGAGTAGAAAAATCATATTTAGATGCAAAAGTATTTTTGAGCTTTATAAAAAAAATACCATGGTTTTAAAAAATACATTGTTTTAAGAGCACCATGAAATTGTTTGATGCAACAAACTTTATACATATAGTTTTAAAATGATAGTTTTACTCAAACTGTAGGATTTTGAAATTTGAAAAAGTCCACTTTATATCTCTTTTTTTCTAAACAATGGTTTGACATACCTACGAATTCTAAAACTATAGTTTCTTGATATCCTAGTTTCTTAATAGTAATCGGGGTTGTACCAAATATAAACAGTCATTTTGGTAAGTCCTATAATCCTGGCAGCATCAACTCGTGTTCAATGGTTCAACCCTGCATACCATATACACTCATGAGACCTGAGGCCTGTTCGCTTGGAGGAATTATGGAGGAATTTGAATGGTTTGGAGAAATGCTGGAGAAATTTATGAGAGAAAAACACTGTTTCGAATGAAAAAAGAAGCGGATCAAGCCAGGTTTAAGAGCACGCGAACGAGCCCTGATTATATCGTCCTACATGGATATCAATAAATTGATCGGTCACCCACCACATACAGGCATTACTAATACAGTTTAGAATTTTTTTTGTCATACAGGAGTTTAAACTATTTACAAACCAGCTCTAAAGATACTATGTACTAGTACTTAGCAAATGCTATGCGAAGATGTCAAATCTCTGGTTAAGGACGATATCAAACTATAAAGATTAATAACACGTAAGATCCTCTCTTTTTCATTGCGTGGTGAAACCACTTTTAGTCTCATCCATCGTCCATTCAAATCAAATCAAAAAGAAAATAAAGTCACTGTCAAAGAATCGAATCTGGATTTCTGAGCTTGGTCCATTAACCGTGTGTTCTCCGGCGCCTGCGTGTCTGGCTGTCTGCATGCAAAGGGATGGAAAAGTTGACCGACGACCATCTGGAACCGGTCCACTAACGAAGTAGAAACAAATAGCACAAAACCACAGGGTCCTGCGCGCAAAACCGCGGGGCAACAAAAAGCGAGAGCGGGGGCAGGGAGGCCGCGTGCGACAGCTCGTGACGGCGTGTGCGTTCCGCTCACCAGGTGGGCCCCACCAGGTCCACGCCGCCCGACGCGCCGTGTGCCCGCCACGTGGGGCCGCCGGACGCGCCGTGGACCCGGCGCCGGTGTGGGAGGGCCCTCGGGGCCCAGCGGCGAGTGGCCCGCGCGGGGGCGGCACGTGGGTGGGCCCCGGCCCGGCCGGCGCCGCGCCTCGCTGCTTGCAGCGCTAGTGCTAGCCTGGACGCGGGCGAGCAGGCGGGGGCGCGTGCGCGGACACGCGGGTGGGTGGGTTGGGACGCTGGATGGCGGGGCCCACGTGGCAGTGTGGGGGTCTCGCGCGTGTCATTTGCGCGTGGACAGCAAGGATAGAGCTGGTGATGTGGCTGGGCCTCGAATGAATGAAATGAAGGAAATTGCTTGATGTCACAACAGTCCGGCAGCAGCAAATTAGAGCAACCAATCACACTCAGGATGTTCTTCATCATCAGATCACGGATGAATGGAACAGTGTCGAAGGAGGAAACAAGAGCTCATTAGACCTTCTTTTTAAGTAAACTTTTTTTTCTTTATACTGTCACAAGTAATGCTTAAGTAGCAAAAGGAGTCGTCGTCTCTGAATTAATGCGGACGACAACCGTTTGGAAATTGGAAGCTCGATAGTAGGAGTAATTAACTAGGTTGGTTGGTGGTAAATCGGTTTCGATAGATTAGTTGACAAGGTATGTCCATACTTATGGTGTGTCTAATGTCTATATGCATGACTGCTTTTTATGATAACCGAGGACAAAAGTGCATGACATGGACACACACCGGAGAAAGAAGAGGCCGCCGGTGGGAGTTAAGCGTCATTGTCATGTGGGTGTAGCTAAATAGCACAAGCACAAGGTGGCGGACAGAGTTGAGGTTTCAAGGCTGCTAGAGGAGCAAAGACCAACTCATCCCATGGATGGAGCTGCTAGAAGATAGACAAGTAATCTACTCCCTCCGTCCCTTATTATTTGTCGTTTTGGGTTTTCGTGTCATAACTTTGACTAGATTTATAAAAAATACGTGCAACATTTGTATCTTTAAATAAATTTATTAAAAAATAAATTCAAAGATCTATCTAATGATATCAATTATGCATCATAAATATTAATATTTTTTATTTAAAATTAATCAAAGTTATTTCTCGGGAAGCGAAAAGACAGATATTTAGGGACGGATGGAGTATCTATCTGTAATCTACGCCCTGTTCGTATGGGCTTGTTTGGCTGATAAGCCATGACTGAAATTATTGTTGGCTCATTTGGTATGAGAGAAAAATACTGTTCGTTGACTGAAAATGTACGGCTTATAAGCCAAACAAACCAAATGAGTGTTCGGCTGAGACTTAAAAACACTGTTCATGTTGATTTTTTACTATTTATACTGTTTTTTTTAGATAAAAACACTGCTTTATCTGGAAAAAAAAAAGCCAGCCAGCCAAATCTGTTTAGCCGAACACACCAAAGCGAACATGCCGCTAATTCGTTCGTGGTTTCCGGCGTTGTTATATATAAAAATAACAACAATGATGATAGATCCTCCTTGGTTGTGGTAGTTAGATTTAATAATATACGTTGTAAGTTTAGGGGCTTGTAAGTTTAGGGGCTGTCTGGAAGTCCTAGCTAGGACTTTGCTCCTCCAACTTGTGCACTGTTTTGTGATACTATTCATCAAAGTTGTTTTTCTCTCTTCTTCAAATTAACTAAGAACAGGAAAGAACCACTATTTTTTTTGGCTTCTCTGGCGCCTCCGCCATTGAGCCAGAGCCGAGAAGGAGCCCGAGCAAACAAGTCCTTCCTACTACTTTTATTACTACTACTTTTATATATATTACTAAATTGATATGATATATATTACTCTCTCCATCCATAAAAAAAATACAATTATGAGATCCGTGCTGGTCAAACTAGTTCAAGTTTGATAAAGTTTATAGTAAATAGTATTAGTTTTATGTCTACAAATAAATTTATTGTGAAAATATATTATATAACAAATCTAATGGTATTTATTTTATATCACAAATGTTAGTGCTTTTTATATAAAATTTAGTTAAAGTTTAAATTTGACTCTTTGAAAAGTAAAAATTGTATTTTTTCCCCGGAGGGAGTACTAATTTGGTAGCACAGTAGCAGTGACATATTGGCAATTTGGCACTTTGTGTTTATGGGCACCAACCACCAATGCAACGACGTAAGTACGTAACCGTACCAGTACGTTGATGTCGGTGTGTGTGCACCGGAAGCACTGAGCCCGCTCGGTTGGTTTCTGGACTTCGTCTTATAAGCTCGGCGCACGTTGGTTTATTATATAAAAAAATATTATCGACTGGCTAGTAAATTCTGATCGAAACCAATCAACGAACAGCCTAATTATCTAAGCTACCGGATTAAAGTCCTAAAGGAAGCACAAGCACATGTACGACCGCCTACTGCCTAGTTGAGTCGAGTCAGTCCGCCGTTAGTCAACTCATGCTAATTAGTACTAGTTTGGCACTTGTCAAATTAAAGTAGTTTATGTTGCTTGATGTTGCGATGGTTTATGGGCTGATAAGCATAGTTTGTGCTGGTTTGTTGTGAGAGAAAGACGTTATGAGCTAGGCTGATAAACCTTGACTGAAACTAACAAACGAACAGGCTAAACATCTACGTAAAATGCATGATCCAGTACCGAAAAGAAAGAGAAGGGTCGGTCAGATTGTCACTTCATCTCAACGGCCGTCGTGGAGTCGTCATGTTCGATTAGCTTATAAGCCGTATTTTTTCAGCCAATGAACAATATTTTTCTCTCATATTAAATTAGCCAATAGTACTTTCAGCCATGGCTTATCAGTCAAACGAACCGGACAACTGCTCATCCCCACTCTGCTCTTGGTGGCTGTGTTTTCCTTCTCCATCGATCCATTCTGTTCATGTCGTTCGAGCCTCTGATTCCAATATATATACTCCATACCACGGCAATGTTCGTCCATGTTCATCTTTCTTAACCAACCCTCCACTGTCAAGGTAAATAGGTATACTACACCTACATCGTGTTTCTGTTCTAGTTGTGCGTTAGCCGGCCTGACCATGGAGAATCAATTAACCTAGTCGATCCTGGGCAATGACGAAGGTCCCTACCTATGTTTGCTAATTTAGCTAGTGTTACTTCATCATCCAGTCACAAATATTAAGTTATCTCACTACTCCAAGTCCGTCCGTGGATCATCGTGGGGTCTAAATCCAGCATCACTGTTATAACCGGACTTGACAGAGGGTAACCTAATATGCAGGGATGATAGACTTGGCAGCTCTTGGGTAAATTTGATGGTGTAGTTTCATAAATCAATTATACTTTCGCTGCATTTTGTAACCAAAAGTTTTAGCCCAAGCTGTGTTTGGAAGCCGTGTTAATATCACAATTGTCACTTAATACATAGCCACATCTGGATTTGTCAGGTGTTAGCTCTAAGTACTCCGTTGAGTATAAGTAGCTCAGACAGTCAGCAGTCTGAGCTACTAGCAGCAGTAGTAGGCCAGTAGCAGAGCACTACTGATCCATCCAGATCCAGCTACCAGCCCATGGTAAGACAACATCTATGGTCTACCGTCAGTATAAATCAGTTTCATTATTACTGCTTCTCTGTGATTTGGTGCCTAGTACTATCGACAGATAGTACTGTATGCAGTGCTGTCAGTAAAATCACCTGCCGCAACAACTACGGAGTACCTGCATTGCCAACAACGTACGTACACACAATGACTGGGGACTGGCCATGCTTTGCAACCAACGAATTGCTGGTAGTTAATGTGACAGTGATGCTGATTCATTAAGGAGGTCAAAATGGTGCAGCAACATTTCTCTGTCCGAGCTGTTAGAATGTTACTGTATCATCATCTAGTAAACCGGTGATGCGGTGGTCAAAAAAGAATTCACTGCGGTTTATATATCTCTATATCTATCTGCTGCTAAAAAGTTGTTTAAATGTAAAGAACGAGCTCAGAACCATAATGTTGATTGCCCCATTCATTTTCTGGGCCTCCAACAATGCGGCTTTGGGCCCAACACCAACGCTGGCAAGACCGCAAGAGACCACAGTTACCATGGGCCCCAGAAAGTGCCAGGCTGCTTGGGCCGCCTCGAGGCCATGTGGCTCACAGCCGCAGGCCGCACCTAAGTCATTTCTGCCTCTCTAAAGTCTAAACTGTGGTGCTCCTAAAAAAGAAGGTCTAAACTGTGAATTGAAAAATGAGACAATCTGCTTTTTTTTTTAAATCCTACATAAAATCATTTAAGTTACCTCTTCCCTCTGGTTAAAAATGGTTTTAAAAGTGGTTTTTGTCATTTTCAATTTAAAAATTATAGTGAACACTTAATAAGGTTTGTATATACTAGTTCCTAAATAAATTGGCCATCATTTAAAAAAAATACATGTAGTTTTCACACCATGTGAATTACTTCTTCCGTTCTAAATTATAAGACATCTTGACTTTTTTCTAGATATATAAGCTTTTCTATGCGCTATGCATCTAGAATAATTTGGAGCAGAGGGAATATATATTATGAAAGCATTTATCATAGCTAAAAACATATGTTGTTAACCTATACATTTTTTGTTAAAATTGATGGTCAAATATGAAAATATTTGCCTTAGTACAAAGCTAACATAGCATGTAAAAAAACGGAGGGAGTATACATAGATGATGGTTCATGCATATCCATCCACACTTCCTTTTTTTTCCTATACTTCTTTCTTTTCTTGCGAAACCACACTTCTTGTTCTTTACAACTCTACAGGCAACAACTTCTGTACTAGTTCAGCTAGCTTATCCACTTCTTACCACTGCATTACAACTTTCCATTTGTCTTTATGTATTTTCCTAATTTCCTTTGCTTTTCTTCTTTGTTTCCTAGTACAATGACACAAGAAAGGGCTAATCTAATCAACAACGTCACTGCTACTGGAGAACAAGAACACAAATAAGATCAGCCGAGAATCTAGCAAAGGCTGGGAAGAGGGTTTCTCAACAAACGATCCAGTTCAATCATTGCGTGAACACCGTCATCATCTCATATCTAATCCTACCCTCCATTCGTCACCAGACTCTCTCTGCTCGCTGCTTCTTGTTCTTCATTCAGATTCCTTGTTCATTCAGATTCAGATTGTTTGTTCATTCAAACTCCTCAAAAGAATAATGTGGATTCATCATACAGCTAGCCCCTCCACCTCCACTGTTTAAAAATGCAGCCAGGACACCGGTCCTAATACTATTGCCTCACACGTCATTTTGTAAGATTACCGAACATGGAACATCACTGATTGCTCGATGTTTACTGACAACATTGAAACCTGCAAACAGCAGAAACTTTAAGAGAGAATTCCTTATTTAACACTGGGAAAATGACTCGTTCCTTTTTTGGCCTTAAAATTTTCTTCGTTCCCTATTTGACACTCACTTCAACTTTCATCCCTAATTTGACACTACCGTCAAATCCGTTAGCTAACGGTGTTAACTGGCTGTTAAAAAGACGCTTTTGCCCCTAGAAAAAAAAAGCGACGACGCAAATTTGAGAGGAAAAAAACCTGCGCCTTTTTTTTTGCAGCTGGGCGCATGCATCAGAGACGGACGCAGGTTTTTTTTCCCTCTCAAATTTGCTTCGCCACTTTTTTTCTAGGGGCAAAAACGTCTTTTTAATAGCCAGTTAACACCGTTAGCTAACGGATTTGACGGTAGTGTCAAATTAGGGATGAAAGTTGAGGTGAGTGTCAAATAGGGAACGAAGAAAATTTCAGGACCAAAAGAGGAACGAGTCATTTTCTCGGTGTCAAATAAGAAATTCTCTCAAACTTTAATCTCTAAGTTTCCTTCGATCTTATTATCACAACAATGCTATCTCTTCTCTACAACTAGAAAATTTACAGCTCAATCGTCCAACGGCAGAACGAAACTCACCTGCGACAATTACCGTCGGGCGCTCCCACGATTCCCTCCGTATCGGGCCCACCGGCGCTCCCATTGCTCGTTCGCACGGTGGAACCGGTCTCTACGCCGCCGTCGCCCATCCCGATCCGGCTACGCCGCCGCCGGAAGGCCCCACAGCCATGCGTAAACTTTCCCCTTCTCCCACAGCTCCATCCACATGGCCTCCTCCCGTGGCAGTGGCAACGCATCCTGGTACCAGCGAGGAAGTGCGCTGCCTCCACAGGAAACGGCCAGATCCAATGATGGCGTGGGCGTCCTCGCTCCTCGAGGCACGGGTGACCCCCCTCCGAGATCCATGACGACGCGGGTGAGTCTCTTTCTGAGGAGGTGGTGGGAGGAGCATCGGTGGTGCTAGAGTTGCTGCTCGCGGCCGTGGTGCTTTGTGGGGGCATGCCGGGGGGAGCACGAGGCCGCCGGAGCCGGGTGGCAGGCGGGGAAGGAGGAGGATGCCACGGCGGCGCTAGGGAGATGGAGATGAGCTGCCCCACGGATGTCCGCCACGTCGCCAGGTCACCTTCGACTGCTTTCATGGATTCCTCGACCTCCTGTCAAGTTCAAGGATGACCTCCCCCAGCACTAGCGTCAGCGTTTCAGTGTCTCGACCTCAATCAGTGCAATGCAGCCTGTTCATTTGTTTCTTTACTTTTAAATTTTGTTTGACAATTATAGTTATCCAACTACACGTTTCAGTTCGGTGATAAACTGAAATTAACCGAATTACAAGCCAATACCAACATCTTTCCTTCTTTTTTTTTATCTTGTGACGCTCACAGATTGTAACAAACGTGCGGGACAAAATAGGCTGAGCTACTGAGTTCAGTTCTAGACTGTTGCAATACATTCTTGTTTTTTTTATTTGGTTCAAACTAATGTTTGAAAACTGAAACTGTGGCTCACCTGTATAGGATAACACGTACAAATTCAGCAGTATGACATGTAGATCTTCCAGTATAGGTGTGTTCCTTCTGTCTATTGTTCTACATAGCTATACCTTCTTGAGTAGTGGTATTGCCATGGCATAGATGTGTAGCAGCTACTTATAGTTAATTGTCTGTTTGCTTTGGTTGAGAATGTCAGCACATCAAGTGTTCCATCACAAATCAAGTTTGTGCTGTAGTAGAGTGCAGACAAGTTACTCAGTCAGACTCTAGAGTACCACAAGTTTCTCCATTGCCTTCAGATAGTTGATTAGATATAGAGATGATAATTCATGACCAAATGATTGATCGATTTGAATATTATTTTGTTTTTATATGGCAGCCGTTCTACTTGTCGCTTAAAAAGCAAGAGGTTGTTACCGATTGCACTTGTAGATTCAATACTTTGAGTTTGTTTAGATAATCAAGCAATGCAATGCATGTGGGTTGGCTTTCTGCATGTACCATTTTCTTTTGTTTCCTGGTGCAGGATAGGTTTGTTAACGCACTGCCATAATCCGTCGCTCTCATGTTTAACTGACAGATTACCAGTGAGTAAAAAGATAGAGAATTCGTTTTTTTTCTTTCTTTCCGACAACATGCTGGAGGGCAGCGTACCTTTATACTCATGATATGAATGGTGTTCAAGATTGGGAACAACAAGGAACTTCCGCCAATATTATATCACCTTTTGGAGCACTGCAAGGACTTCATTAGGAAGTGATCCATCTCATGGTCCAACGTCAGTTGAGCTTTTGCAACACCTGTTCATAAAAGGGCGTACCCAGTGCAGAGAGCTCCCGCTCTGTGCGGGATTTGGGGAAGGGTGTCAGTGGCAAGCCTTACCCTTGCCTGTGCAATGCGAGTAGACCACGACTCGAACCCGGGACCTTCCGGTCACAGGCGGTAAGACTCTACCGCTTGCACCAGGCCCGCCCTTCTTGCAACACCTGTTCATACAAAATGGAATTTCCTTTGAGAAATCTATAGCTCCTAATCCTTTGGAACATATGGCTGACATCCTGAAGACAAAAGCCCAAGGTGCCACCTGAATACTACTATTCTCAATTGATTCTTCAGCTCAAAACTAATATTTTGAGCCAATGCAATTCAAGTCAACGAAGGTATGCCCTAATCCTAAATTTACTCTACATCTATTTTACAATGCATATTCATTTACACACCTATGTAGGATCAAACTATTATAAAGCACATGCAGACTCAGTGTCATACCTTTCTAGCTGCTAGGAACGTGTAGTGTTAATGCAACATTGTTCTGAATATTTTCTCCTTCACTTTGTGTCCTTTGATCATTCTATTGTTTTTTACCGTGCGAATTAAAAATAATCTGATTTCTACTCTGATATTTGTGTTAGATGTCGTCTTATATGCGTGGTTCGTGCAGCGATGCACCTGTTTGTCATAGTTCATATTTATCTAGCATGTACAGAGATTTGCTTGCATCTGTTTTGTATTTCAACTTTAACTAATTGAACATGACAGTTATCGAAGATACTAAAGATTTTTTTTAAAAAAATTCTCATGTTCTGTGATTGCAGATTCTACCTATTCCTACACGGCGGAGCAAGTCTCCTTATCATACTAAATTGGCATGCTAACAAGTGTCATGCTAACAAGTGTCAAATGATGGGACTGTATATATTGGATTTCCATACTGAATCACTTAAGGACCAAAATCAGTAACTCCCCATTTGTATACCCCTCACCCTGATATGTAACATATTCTTGGCGTCCTGATGCCAGTGTACAGAAGGAATCTCAATTCTCAACTAGGAGCCTAGATTTAGCCATTCAACAATCAGTGCCAGTTTATCGGTTCCTCCACAGTTAAATATCTCACCCATGGTTGAGGTGGTGTTGCAAGTCCATTCAGCATTGATGAAATAATTTTGTATCGACAAACTGAGCCAATTCAGTGCCAGCTTCTCGGAATTTGTTCTCTATAAAATTGGATTGATTCCTATGAAATTCTTACACAATTCATGTGATTACTTTGTAACTTTCTATACAGTAATGCCACACGGGGCCCACCTATAACATTTGCTAATCTTAACAAGTTCATAGAACTACTTGTTCCTTTGTTCCGACAACTTTATGCTTATATTGCTCAGTTCTAAATTAGGGTTGATTAAATCAGCTAAATCATTGCGGCTATTTTTATTTGGTAATTCTATACTACAAAACAAAACTAATTGATTCGATCAGTGTTATAAAAATAAAGCAAAGCCGAGTACAACATACTTTTTAGAAAAAAGGTATCCCATTCCAAATTATAAAGCTACAAATTGTATATGGGACACTTTCTAATTTCATATTTGACTTTGCATGAGGATGGCTAAAGGATACGAAATGACTTTGTGATCTAGCTATTGGCTTACGATGGTAATTTTAGGGGAATTTTAATTCCTAAAGGAGTGCAAGACTATCTTAAGCTTTATGTTGAAAATTCTTGGAAAATTTTAATACCTAAAGGAGTGATCTTAAGCATATCATAAACCGGAAGTGGTAGAATAGATAGTTGTAAGGAACTAAATTGTTTCAATTTCACATTAAAACTTGATTTATATTTTAATTGTCCATCTTCTTGAAAACTCATATAATATTGATGTTCTGAACATCACACTCGAAATATTGTTTTTTGTAACAATATAACACGAGTTCATAGTTATATTATCGTAGTATTTTTTTTCCGTTGCAACTTACGGGCATTTACCTAGTGCTAGTATTATATATACATGGGTGCTCCCCGGGTCAAATAGAGTAGTATGTAATTCTAAGTTTGAAACAAGTCATCTTTTTTCTTAAAAAATGGCCAAGTATATAGAAAATAATATCAACATATTTGTCTCCAAATATATTTAGTATAAAAATATATTCTATAATTAGTCTAATGACACTTAATCGATATTATAAATGTTAGTATTTTCTTATAAATTTGGTCAAATTTGAAGTGAGAATTGCATTATATCTTTTGAGACAGATCAGGAAGTACATCCAAGTCCGCTCTCATGAGGTAGCAAAGCAAGTAAGCAACCATGCTCTCATCTCATAGGCCACATGTAAACTGATGAAGTCATGTGATGTGATGCACACATACTATTCTAGGTCTGTGAGGTCGATTGCCATTGGTTCAAAATCACAAAGAAGGTGCCGTGCAGGAGGCACCCAGCTAGCCTATACTACTGTATGTCTCGTTGCATGCCTATATTCTTTCATTGCTGATATTATATATACTCTCCAATCTCCATGACAGATGGCGATCGTAGTTTTCTCCAATTTAATTACAGTCCTAGTATTGCTTGACTTTGCTTTGGCCAATGTGTGGTCAGGTCAAATTGCCCTGGGAGCAGATTTCTGTGGGTTCACCTGCTTTACCCGCGGATTGTTTTTTTGGCACACTCCCCTCAATTAACATTTGGTAGGGCGCTAAGGTTTTAATCTTTCACAAGTCATGCCGCCATGGTCACATACTCTCATGCCGATGTTATTGAGCTATTTGACTGAGAGATTCACAAGGATGGATGTAATTAAATTAACTACTGTATCCTGTTAGCTAGCTTAGCTTAGCTGCAGTAGCCTAGCCCACTGAATACTGATGGATCATCCAAGTGGAAAATGTAACCATCAGGGTACATACATAAACTCCTGTCAGGAATAATCCGTTTCTGTGATGAACGCATGGATCTGGCCGTGGGTTAGCTGGGCAGGAAAGGATGTTAGAAAAGACAAGGGCCAACATCTCAAGGCTCTGGAATAACTGACCAAAGCTCAGCTTCAGTTATTTATTGGTTCCCAGTTGCCCATTGACAAAACAAAATGTTTGTGCCTGTGCATCACTGCATCAGCAAACAAGAATACGGCATTATCCGATGGAGCTGTATTAAATTGCAGGAAAGAAGAGTTCAAGAGGGACTAAGTATGGTTCATTCTCTGTCTCAGAAACTCTGCCACTGCATTTTCTTTTCTTTTCTTGTGGTCACATTCACACCAATGGGACTTATCATGAGATTTGTTTAAGCCCACTGTCATTGCAATAAACAAAACCTACTTAACTGACATGTAGAGAAGTCCAAGAATTAATGTACTACTTTACCTTCAAGAATCTATATTTTTCTTGGTTCAAAAAAAGAATCTATATTTCCACTGGCTGGAGTTTGGGCGTAGGTTGCCAAAAGTTTTCACCAACAATCATGCATATAAAAAGAGATTATATTAGTATAACAAGTACACGGCAATGCGTGAATGTTAATAAACAAGTCCATCCCGGCCAACTGCATCGAGCAATTAAAATCATCTCCCAGCCGAGTAGGGACAGGATCCACCACCCATTTTTTACTCTCAATTATTCCCCATTGGCTGTTCTGACTTGACATAGAGAGGGATGCGATGAACAACACCAAGACACCACTTTTTTTTTCCTAAAAAAAGAAAGAAAGAAGAAAAGGACAGAAACTAGAAGTTGACCCCATCATTTGTCCCAAGAAATGTCAGCAAATGAGCTTGCATCTGTGTGTATAAGTAGTGGATTAACCGAGGCACAGGGTGGTTCAGGTGATAAGGAAGGTAGTGGTAGGAGGATAGATGGAGAGGAAACGGAAGGAGATGGAGAAGGGCAAGTCTGAACTGAGACTGGCCATGGAGGAGCTCCGTATGTGCAGTCCAGGAGATGGGGAGGAGGAGCAGGTGCAGGTGCAGCAGGTGAAAGTGCAGGAGCAGCCCAAGTCATCCACCATGGACCTCCTCTCTGTCTCCAAGCAGCTCATCCATGTCCTTGGTTCGTAACTGACTATGCTCTGTCAGATTCAAGTTCTGTACTGAAAGATTTCCATTTCAGTTGGGATTATTTCGATCGGTTGTCAGGCAGTTTCAGCAGGTCTAATGTGTCTTTATTTTCTTCATATACAGTATGTTATGTATTACTTTGTTCAGATAGGTTCCTGTGTTCAGGACAACGATGTGATGTTATTGTTCTGAGTCTTACTTTGCATTGAACAAAAGAAAGGAAAATTGGTTGTTTCTGTATGCAGGTTCTGTGTGCATGTGTTGTGGGTCAGGTTTAGCATTCCTCATTGTGTTGTCATATATGGGATGTGAGAATTTGCATACACCCTTTATGCCCTGTTGGATTCTTGGAGGGAATGGATAACTAAATAAGTGGCCCAGAGGCATTTGACCTTTTTCTGTCATGATGCCGCCAAATTGGACATGGAATTACCCATGCAAAATGTGCTGGGGGGGGGGGCAGGGGGCATGGGGGATGGGATTTTAAAATCTCCTTCTCTGACAGCTATTTCTTTTAGGTTGGCACAGTATGATGTAGTGTCATATGCCTTCCCAAATGCTCTCTTTTTCAGACATCAAAGTGCTAGTTATTAACTTGTTTTGGGGATGCCAAAGTAACATATGCCATTCAGCTTTTTTTTTCATGTGCTACTCTCTCCACTATATATCTCTCTGAAAAATCAGATTAGACTGACAAACTCTACCTTCTGTTCGATGAAGACGAGATTGGACCGACTTTGCTAGTCCTGAGGCAGGACATTCAGGAAAATGTTCAGGTAACCCTTCTGCACTGAGCATGCCACTTCATGTACAGACTTATTCCCAGGGTGCTCTGCAGTTGTCATCGATTCATTTGCATCTGTCCGAATCACTAACCTAAAATTAGCTCTCGATCTCCCTCCCGTAGAGATTACAAGATCTGCATGAAAGAGACTCTTCCAAATATGCGAGCTTGATGGCGATAGTTACCGAGGAAATGGAGCAAGGGACAGCAAAGAAGACCAAAAGCTGCACCAGAGCTATCATCTGGCTGTCTAGGTCAATAAATTTCTCAAAATATTTACTGGAGAGGCTGCTGAAAACTCCTGAGTCGAGCCTGGAAGAGATTGTCGAAGAAGCCTATGGAAATACTCTGAAGCCATGGCATGGCTGGATCTCATCAGCTGCTTACAAGGTATCACCTGAACATTTATTTCTGATTTTTTTTTTGTTTGCAGACACACTTGTTTGTTGTTTACATTCGTGATCATGCTTGCTGAGCTGATTGTGCGATAGATTAATAGGTTTGATTTTGTTCACTGACCTAATCTGTTGAGCATAGTTGTCAGGTAGCACTGAAGCTCATCCCAGAAAGAGAATTCTTCATAGCACTGCTGATGGGTAACTGTCAAGACTTTGAGGATCTTGCAGAAGATGCCAAGATGCTGTCCTATGCTGTCCAGCCCCTGTTAGAGGAGATCGATGCAATTTCGGTTAGGGCTTCGAACTTCACGTCTGTTTGCTGAGATTAATTAAAGTTGCAATGAAAGATAAGAATTTCTTGCTCATGGAGTCTATGATTTGCAGGCTAAGCACAACTTGGACAAGATGAAATCCTCTTAGGACACAAGGATTTTGCCGATCACCTGATGACTGTACATAGCTGCATCACCTGACCTTGCCTCGTGCTTGTAAAAGTGAAAGGTTTAATTTTGCTTGTAGATTTCTAGTGACAAATTGAATGTGGGAAAAAAAAAGTGTTGAGTGTGTCCCTGTCCCTGTAGTTTTAGACTTTTACAGTTTTAGTGCATGTATACCCCTCATGACCCAGGCTCAGAGTCCTCTTAAGCTCATGGTGCATGTTTTCTTCAAAATCACCTACTTCTTCCTAGCTAGATACTCAGATGTGGATCTTCTTGAAATACAGAGGAATGGTATGTTTGATACTTCTTCCCCGCCCTTCTGTTTTCGCTGATTCCAGAGAACAAACACATCTGAAATCCAGAGGAAGTTTTTCCTTTTCAGAATAAATCACGAGTATGACAAAACATATACGAGGCCTAGCTACTAATTAGAACTACTAAGGCCATGTTTGGTTGAGCTGTGGCTGTGGGAAAAAGCTGCTGTGGGCTGTGAGCTGTGGAAAAGCTGCTGTGGGCTGTGAGCTGTAGAAAAGCTGAAAGCTGTTTGGTTAAACAAGTATAAAATATACTTTTTATCTTTATCTCTCTTGAAACAACTATGGAAGAGCTTTTTATTCCACCAATTTCAAAAAGCAGAAAGCCAAAAGCCAAAAGCAGGGTCAACCCAGCTTTCAAAAATGAACTACGGAAAAGCAACTGCTTCTGAAAAAGCACCCTCCAAAAACAGCCCCTTTGGTTGAGCTTTTGGCTTTTGGGGCCAAAAGCCAAAGCCAAAAGCCCAACCAAACAGGGCCTAAAACATACAGGGATCTCATGTAAACAACAAAACTGCACACCAGACTCAAGCCCTGTTTAGTTAAGTTAAAGCTTGTATACTGTGGCTTTTAAAGCCTAGCTGATCCAAACAAATCAACTTTTACATTTTTTCCTTGTTAATTGTGATAGCTCAAATTTAAGAACGTCATGAATCTAGATTCTGACTTTAAGATTCTGAAGTCTATAATTTTTCCCCAAATTAAGTTGAAACTTCTCTCGTACTTATTACATTTTATTAAAAACTCTCCTTTTCTATTATATATAAAATAATGATTTTTTAGATTGTAAACAACACTCTTAATTACTAGTTTACGATGATAATATAAACGACCGTTTAAGCTTGCACTGCAATGCTCAAGAACAGAGGTAGAGCTTGAGTTGAGATCTATGAGGGGTCAATAGTGCTAACCTTTAAACGATTATAATATTTATGCTTAATAATCACTATTTATTCCAAAGCGTAGACACTTTTGGTCTGCAGCTTACCGCCCTCGTTGCTTAAGTTGTTGGATTTTCTTACCAAAGAATTATATATAGCATTGTTTTTCTATACAAAAATTAGAGTGCTTAAAAGTAGGACGAAGTTAAGCCTTGACCCGTCGCGCGCTCTGGAGCGTACGACCCCGGCTGCGCGTCTTCGTCTACCTCGAGTCACTCCCATCCTCCCCCGCCGATCCCGCCCTCCCCTGCCCTTACAGAAGCTCACCGGCGTCATCCTCATCCTCATCCTCGCCTCTCCCCCCCCCCCCCGTCTCCACCATCGGTGGCGTCACCCGCAACCCGTCCCCGCCCCTCAAGCCCGCCCACCCTAACCCCAGGGCAACGCGCCGGTGAGCTCGCGCCGTTACGCTCCCACCCCGACCTGCTGGCCTGGCCACCTCCACCACCATCAGGGCCCTAATTGCCATTCCACCGCCTAGCCAGTGTACCTCCCCAAACCTTATTCTTCTAAGGCCACCAGAGATTAACTCACTATACCCACGAGACAACGCCACCTACGTCCACCGGAGCTCTGTTATGTTCCCCACTATTAATTTAACCTACCAAGAAATACATCGTCATGACTAGAAACACTGCAAGAAATAAAAATATGGTTGTTTTTATTATACTGTAACCCCTTAATAAAATAACAAATAATAGAAACGTCTGAAACGAGTCATCTCGATTCATGCTTGCAGCCGGTACCAACAACCGCCAATAATTTTTATGGTGCTCTTTTTGTTCCTTTGCTCTTTCTGGATGAAAGATACAAACTGAAGAAAGCACGAGTTGCACCTAATCTGTGGATCACGACGATGAGATCATTCACCCACTTGCACTTTTACCAAACAATAGCCATAATATAATAACCAATAGAAAACAAAAACAGTTCTCCTCAAAAAATAGAAAACAAAAACAATTACTACCTTCGTTTGTTTCTTAGCGTTGTTAATGTGTCTTGCTCGCTGGTCAGCACAAAGCTGCAAGACGTATGTTTTTCCTCATTATAATATATAAATAACTGGAGTGCAAAATATATTTTATATATTTGCACGTACTACTCTTATCTAGATATATATATCTTGCAACTTTGGTCGTTGTTTGATGTACGACATGCAAAGCACGCGGAGACGGTAAAATATAACGCAACTTGTGTTGAGACGTCACCCTATACGTCCTGCATTATTTCTTCAATTCAAATTTTGAACATTAATTTGGTAAAATTCTGTTTGAGTTACAAATTGCAATAATGAATTTGACTGTGTCTGCGACCGTTCTACTTCATAGGTTGGTTTACATCAACCGTCTTGGGCTCCACCGTAGTAGTGGGCCTTATGGGCTGGCACAGAGATGAAATTGAGACCGGGCCGGAGCTGAGTTTCTCTTTTTGTTTCTTTCTTTTTTGTTTGATCCTCTTTCCATTTCCTTAACATTTTTTTAAAAAGATAGCAGAGGAACCTATATGTTAGATCCTACTATTCCTAAACACTTGTACCTTTTCACTGGCAACAGATACACAGGTTGAATTCCTAATGCAGAATTGCAGACTATCATCTACATGTGTTTTGCATGGGTGCATGGAAATGGTGTGAAAAAAGAAGAAGTGAAGATGCACATATCTCTACTTCAATCTTGTTTTGCATGGGTCCAATCCACATAATAATACAGTGACAATGAGACAGGTGAAGATGCAGTGACATGCATGTTGCTGCTATTTGTTCTGCTTGCACACTGTGCTGATTGCTGAAGACGACTGCTGAGAAAGAGGTCTCTGATTGGTTTTGCATCTGAGTGAGTGAGTGGCCGGTCTACCCTACCCTGTATGACGACTGTGACAACAGACATAGCGACCCCAAGTTCCTAGCTAGCTCATCGACACAGACCCAAGTCCATGCATTGCCCTGCATGCAGAAAGAAGGCATGATGGTAATCATATGCCTATGTGTGCACAGTGTAGGACTAGCTATGAAGCTACTACTCCTACCTAGCTAGGTAGGCCTGCAGATTCAAAGTTTGTTGGATCCTATCTTGGGCCCAATGCAAGACCAAAAGCAGCAGGACCTGTAGTTGTTAGCTAGGCAGAGGCAGGGACTCTCTATCTCATCCATCAGTTGCTGGTTAGTTAGCAGGAAGCCAAGTTGATGAGCAGGTAGCCGGCCTTCTGGTTTCCTCATATATATCAATCACACGACACACTAGTCGCCTTGCTTGCATTGGGAAGACAAATATCCGTCCATGGACCAGCATTTAACAAGGCAAGGCTGGCTTGTATATATTCACTCCCTTCGTTGCAAATTGTAAATCTATTTGACTTGTCTAGGTACATCACTTTTGTTGTGGACCTAGATATATATACACTACGTCTAGATACGTTGTAAAAGTTGTATACCTCGAAAGGCCAGAACCACGTACAATTTGAAATGGAGGGAATACTGTTCTGGGTTCAGTTTGTATTCAAGTATTATTACTCATTCTGCTGCAGTCCTGGCTGGCTAGTACTGGTAGTATTAGTACTGTACCTGGCCTGGGCGCATCATCGAGCAACCGTCCTCTCTTTTTGACATGCATGGACGACATGATGGCCTCCTCTGCAAGCACCTGCGCTGCACTGAAGTGAAGAATACATACTGCATATATGAGCAGGGCCTTTCATCTTCCTTTTGATATCTACCGGTTTCATGGACAAATATGCTCTGCCACCCAGAAAAAGCTAGCTCAGGATCCAGAGATCAGCTTGCATACATTATTTGCAGTGGTGCGGCCGGCATGATCACTAGCTGTCTATCCACATCTTTCTCCATCGATCTGCAGGTTAACTACTAAACATTATCTGCAGTATAATATGATTCCTGTTCTCATCCTGGGCAAACTAATTAAACAAAGACCGATGATCGTGCAGTTAGGGCATGTTTGGTTGCCGGCCACGTTTTGCCACGCTTAAGGTTAAGTATTTGCCACACTGTGGTTGCCACATTCTGTGGCAAAATGAAAGCGTTTGGTTCGTTATTAAACTGTGGCAAAATTGTGTGGCTGTTGTTTGGATGGTTGCCACCGAAATTTGATAAAATTGCTATATATGGTTTAGATAACAAATTTGTATGGTGTTTCTAATGAATCAAAAATAAACATGAAAATTAAGACTAATATAGATAATTAGGAAACTATATTATACTAATCAAAACAAAATAATAATAGATAATCAAAACTACATTATACTAGTATTTTCTATTGTATTCCTAGATATATATTTTTTTTTAAAACGGCCAGTTAACCTTCATGTTCACGGATGATATTCCCAAGTAATATTCTCTCCTCAACCTTATCCATTCACCCACCCCAGCCTCCACCACACGTCGTGGCACACGACACCTCCTATTCTCTCTCTCCTCTTCCAAACGCTCTCCATGGCCTTCCATCGTCCGCCATCGTCGGTCACCAGAGCTCACACAACTCAGGCAGGAGTCCAGTTCTACCCCACCACTTGGGATGTGGCCGGCGTTGGAAGGGACACGGACGAGCAGCGGCCGCGCTAGGACCAGGCAGCAGCTGTGCCCCGCAGTCATCTTCAACTCCGATCCGCCAAGTGTGGCTGGGCGCCGTGCCGTGGTGTGCTGGGCCCCATGCAGCCTGTGGCCGCCGCGGACAGGCTCGTGGTGAAGGGCCGAGCGGTGATGGCAGGGTGGC